GAAAGAAAGAAAGAAAGAAAGAAAGAAAGAAAGAAAGAAAGAAAGAAGTCAACAGCAAAACATTTATGGAAAAGGTTATCAAGAAAATGCATGGAGTTGAACCAGAAGGAATGACTTATTTGAAACTAATAAGAATAAAATACTTGTATTAAGACAATAATTCTTATCCTAAAGGTGTTCTTCCATGCCTCAGACCCTTCTCCCCTTTGAAGGGGACTCTCTTTCCTGGACTCCCATAGAAATCTCTGATTTTGTTGAGGGGTGGAATAACATTATCAGGAAACTGACAAATTATATACAGTATGTGGTGTATGATGTGCCTTTGAGGCTAACTTGTCATATGTTTCTTTTCTACAACTAAGCTATGGTATTCTGGCTGTGCTAAGGTTTTGGTCCTGTGGAGAGTGACTCCCACAGGGACAAAGCTTTAAATCTCAATTTGTCCCACAGGATGAAGCACCCATGTTCCTTCCTTATATTTCAGGACTCGAATCGTCCTAAGACCAATTTTAGGACCATCTCAAACACCACTTTGCCTTCAATCTGCAGCTGGTGTTTCTCATTCAACGCTCTTCCAGAAAGACTGCTGCAGAAGGAAAACATCTCCTCTGTCCTAAGTGACCGGCTTCATAAACAGCAAGAAATGGATACTACAAAACCACATGGATTTTTCCTAGCCAGCTTCCTTGTCCTTGTGTTCTTGGGAGATCTCACGGAGGCCTGCAGATGTGAGCAAACATCTCTCAAGAAAGCATATTGCAAACATCACTTCAGTGAGTTTTGAAAATGAATGTTTTTCTCCCTTCCATCTTTTAGTACTCCCCACTTCCTTACTTTTCAGGTTTGGCTGCCAGCATTAATCCTTCCAGTTGCAGAAAATAATTCCTATGGCATGAAAACTGAACATATTACTTGTTTCAGAAACCTCTATAAAATAAGACTAACCAGCACCACTGAATTTGCTCTATATTGAGAATCTGAAGGTACATCTTACTAAAAAATCTCTCTCTTTCTCTGTCTTTCCAGTGATGAGGGCCAAATTTATGAGTGTCAAGCCAAATCCTGAATCTCCATCATATTTTCCCAAAAATATTTATAATATTCAGCCCATTGAGGTAAGCCTCTCCTCCTGAAACATTATCAGGAACAGCAGGGTTTGCATACATTCAACTTTTGTAAAGGAATATTATTATTATTCTCATGTCAAATTCTCCTGACCTACTCTTCTCTTTATTATATACTGAATAATCTTTCTTTCTGAAGGTATACAAGGGTCCAGAGAAACTAAGAAACGCACAGTTTCTTTACAGCCCAGTCTCAGATGATTATTGTGGATATGTACACAAAGGCCCTCTCAAAGGAGAAGAATACCTATTTTCAGGTAGAAAATACAAATTATCTGGTAATAATTAATACATATAAATTAGAGAGGATGACACATTGCAAAACATTTGTTTCAACATTATCATTTTTACTAATCTGCTTTATAGTACTACTTGGTCAACTTCTATCCCATTTTTGGAGGGATAAGCCAGTGTCAGTGAGATACTGTATTGTCACTTCCCTTAAAGAAATAAAGCTTGCTTTGAAAGGCTATGGATTTGCTGAGAAAAGGAGAAAGTTGGCTTATATGGAACAGACACATTGCTTACTTAAAATGTGGACCAAATAGCAACAGTTAGGGTTTGGGTTCAGATTAGAGTTAGGATTGTGAATAAATCTTCACAGTTACTTATTGACACCATCTTTTTGTATCTTTTCTATTTCAAAAGGGTCAATTTCTGATGATCATTTTAAAATCTCAATGTGCAGCTTTTCAAAACCATGGGATAAAGTAACTTCTAAACAGAAAGAAATCCTGAAAGGTGATGGTGGCAAAGACTGCTGAGTCTACTGTTCTAAGTCTTCATGGCCTTCGCTGTCAATATGCTAGTGTTTAGAGAATGAGAAATAAACTAGATGTACCTGAATGCTTATTACAAGAAAGAAAACATTCAAAACAAGATGAGCAGCAAATAAATCAAATGTTATTGAAGAATGTCGTTCATTTTTCAGGTGTGTATTTTCTCCATATCCATTCCATCTTTTTATGTACTGTGGGATAAAACATCCACAGTAAATATCATTGATAAGCCATGGCACAACAAACAATTTACTATCTTAAAAACAGTTTTCTGAAATTCAGCAATTCTATGATAATTCCCCAACAATTCACAAGTTAATTCAATAGCAAGGTACCATTCAAGTTTGGAAAAGCTCAGTTTTACCACTTTCTGAAAGCATGATGTGGGAGAAATCATTTTCACTCCAAGGAGAAGCTGTTCTCTAGGATTGGTGCTGTGATGGAAAGACATAATCTCCCTTCAGTCCCATTTATTTCATAGAAATCTGAGATTACTCTGAGTGTGATCCTATGTATTGGAGATGTCAACCCAGGTTGGAGAAGGTGATCCAGAAGGTACTGTAGTGCCAGCCATGTGGGGCTCCCCGGGGTCCGGAGGTTTTCCTTGAACCTCCGGGAGGGCAAAAACAGCCTCCCCGGGCTCCGGAGGCTCTCTGGAAGCCAGAAACGGGCTCATTTCTGGCCTTCCCAAACTTCTGGGAGGCCCGTTTTTTGCTCTCCCCGAGCCTCTGCGTGCGTCCTGCACTTACTTACATCCAAAATGGGCCGAGTGGGGACTCCTGGGAGGGGAGGGGTGGGTGGGCTAGCCAGGAGTGGGATTTGGGAGGTTTTCCAAACTGTAAGAATCTTAGCTAGGGGTTCTGCCGAACCTCTGCGAACCCCCAGCAGCTCCCACCCACGTGAGTCAGTCACCATTTTTTGGATTCAACATGTCTCAGCGGCAGAAATAAACAGAAAATGACAACTGCTTGTTGCTGCCTCTTCTTTGCCCAGATCTGGTGGTTCTAATTTAGAAAAACTCTCAAGCTGATCTCTACAGATTTTCCATTGGGGCATAGGTGACTAATACTTCCATTTTACTTTTCAATGTTTTATAAAAAATGAATTGTTGTTTCAAGCACTGCATTTCTTAAAGCTCCTGACGTTCCAGGAGGCTGTTAGAACTTCTGGGCCATCCTGTTCAATGCATATGTTTCAACTGCATATATAGCCAAGCAGAGATTGTAGATAATCTTCAACACAGAATATCACAAAGCATTAAAACATTTGAAATCAATGGATTTTGATCTATTATTTCGCCCAAGATTTCTAGCAAAACATCTTCTCTCTTGTTTTCAAATCTGGTTATTCCACAGCTCCAGGTTCTCATATGATTTGGAATGAAAGCGTAATTGCTCATCTATTAATAAACAAATAGGTTTAGCAGCCAAGATCACTATATCCTGAAGTTTGCAAAGGTCTTGGACTTTTCAAACGAAGGCAAATATATGTGTCCCAGGATCAATGTTTGAGGATCCAATCTGGATTGGTCACTGGGATCAGAAGTTTAGTCTTTGGAGGTTTTAGGCTTAGGGAACTTCTCTCCATCAGTTTTTTTTTTCTTCACCCCCCACCCCCTGCCCATTAGACCATGAAGAGAAGAACTGATGCCAGAAACACAAATGGCTGATTTTTATGGTGTGTGTTAACATTACATTAAGATACGAAATGCTGTGTCCAAACCTGTCTTCCAGAAATCTTATCTATTCAGCAAACTAAATGGGAACATATTATGCTGCCAGTTCTTGGAGAAATCAGGTGTGGCTAGGAAGGCTTCTTCTTAAAAAAACATGATTGGCTGTATTAAAAATTAGGATAGATTAAAAAATTAGAAATGGGAATATTGTTATACATATTTTTACATAACATATTTAAAGTGAATGTTAGAGGTTAAGATCAGATTTTGAAAAAGGATGTTATCAGGTATGTTCAAAAATAATGCTATTACTATTAGAAGGATGTAGCAAATATTGAATAATTGAAAAATGAAGGATTATGTACTGATACAGATATATATAGTAACATTAGATCACTTAAGTCTGATTAATGTAATTTTTATTTATATTAATACTACTTTTGTATCAAAATGAATGACACTCAGATACCACACTGATATTGATGTATGTTTTAAAAAAAAATTTACAAAAAAAAGTTGAGCAAATGCCAGAAAATTGTCAAGGAGTTTTGACATGTTACTGTGAATAAATTTTATCAGTTACATATTGACACCACTGTTATGTGTCTTTTCTATTTCAAAAGAGTCGATTAATGAAAATAGACCTCAAATCAAACCATGCAACTTTACAAAACCATGGAATAAAATAAGTGATATACAGAAAAAGAAACTTTCCGGTGTCTTAAAAACAGTTTCCTGAAAAACAGCAATTCTATGATAATTCCCCAACAACTCACAAGTTAATTTAATAGCAAGGTACCATTCAAGAATGGAAAAGCTCAGTTTTACCACTTTCTGAAAGGGTGAGCTAGACAGAGGAAGCCATCTTCTCAACAAAGAGATTGGGATTTCCCTAGGATTGGTGCTGTGATGGGAAGACATAATCTCCTAATCTCCCTTCAGTCCCATTTATTTCATAGAAATCTGGGATTACTCTCATTGTGATCTATGTATTGCAGATGGCAATCTGGGTTGGAGAAGGTGGTCCAGACGATCCTGTAGTGCCAGCCCTTGGATTTCCACTCAGAAAATCACAGGTAACCTGTGCAAGGCATTGATCACATTCCCCTCTGACTGCAACTGCCTAAGAAAGGAGTTAAATTACTGTAAAACAGTCCCCAAAATTTTGCATGGGATCCAAAGGATAACAATGATCGAATAGTATCCAAAGCTAATGAAAGGTACATCAATACTGGAAGAGGGGAAATTATCCAAAAACAAAGTCATGGCAAAGGTCATCAACTATACAAGGAGCGTTGTTTCTGTCCCCGGCCTGGGACTAAATCCTGATTGAAAGAACACAACCTCCCTCCAAAAATCGCTGCTTCTCCAGTGCCTTGTAGTTGCTTTGTCCCTATCTTCTCCCAGAAAGGAAGGCTTCAGATGATTTGGCTTTCCAATGGACCAGATGTGGGGTGTTCCTCTTAAAGAAGGGGCGCATTGCAGCAATGTGTCCCCAGCAGCAGAAATAAACAGAAAATGACAACAGCTTGTTGCTGCCTGCTCTTGGTATGTTGTGGTTCGCTGGCAGCTGGTGCAGATGGACAGTGAGGAAGAAAGGGGACTACTCAAGGAGTCTGGAAAGGACTTGGACGAGGGTCCTGCGTCCGATGCAGGGATGGGGTCAGGACCACCTGAGAGTGGGGTGCTGCTTTTGGAGCCTTCGGAGTCTGGCAGCAGCGAAGCAGAGGACCCAGGGGAGCCTGTTCCCAGTGCGCGTATGCGCAGAGCTGCTAGAAGGTGAGAGCAGCTGAAGCAGAAGGAGTGCCTCGGGAGTAAGGCTGGGAGGTGATGGCCCCTCCCATAAGGGATAAAAGTCAGACCTCAATTATGAAAGCTTTGCAGGAAGCAAAGTAGTTTGATAGATTCCGAATCCTCCTTGAAGCTCTGTGTACTCTGGTTGTTTTTTTTCTGGTACTTTGGTTGGTTTCTGTTATAATTAATTGGATACTTCTGTTTTTGGCAGCATTCTCCTTATTTCCAGGTTAAATCTCTCCTTGTTCAGTTTCCATCCATTATCAGTTTCCATCCCATGTCTATGTTCATGGGGTTGAGCTCTGAGAAATGGATCTGATGCAACAGAAAAGGCCCTGTGGTGAAAGGGGAGATGCATAAATCAGTAAAATTAAGAAAAGGGAAAAAAAGAATCGCTTACACCATATAATGTATGCCCGATAAACATGCAGGCCAAGCACACAGAGAAATGGGAGGTGTACTTACAAATGATTATGTAAAGAAAATATACTCATAGCTCTTCTTTTTCCCGCAGTTACTTTCATGCTGAGAATATAATCCACTGGGACCACAAATCTAATATTATCTTTCTCTTGCAGCTGTCCAATCTTGGGTACAAGATTGAGCCTTCTTTTAGGAACCTTTCTTTCACACTAAGAATATAATCCACCAGGACCTCAAATTTAATACTATCTTTCTTTTGTAGCTGTTCAGTCTTGGGTTGGAATGGGATGATTTGACACCACTAACTTGACACGGTCAGCAGTGGGTGGCCTTCTTGCCACCGCCAAGTTCCCTCTGCCAACTCGCCGCCACCATTTCTTTGCCGGACCTCTGAACCCCAGACAGATGCTTCAGGGAATAACTCGCTGTGGGCACCACGTGGAGAGCTGGCTGAGCGGCTCTGCAAGTTTTACCTTGCAATGCGATGGTGGCGCTTTTTTAAAAAAAAGCTTGAAGAGCTGCGGCATTTTTTTTAAAAAAAATGCAGAGTCACAAAACTTTTTTTAAAAAAACCCCTGCACAGCCATGGCACTTTCAAAAAAAATGTACAAAATAATCTTGCGAAGCCGCCAACCTGCCTGTTCTGTGCTCGGTCCAGAGAAAAGGCATAGAGGACCAACATTGGTGGTGAAAAGGTCAAGATGGGAAGCTGCCACTGCCGCTGCTTTGCCCTCTGACAGCCTGCTCACTCGTTTCCCATCCGACACAGCCCAAGGCATGGGGGCAATGGTAGGGGGTGTCGAAATAGGAATCTCCTGCCTGCCACTGCCTCCCTGCCTTCCACCCCATCCCTTGCTGCAACCAAACTGCCACTCTCTGACTGCCAGTTTGGCCTTTCGGCCTGAGCAGAGGTGGTATTCAGCAGGTTCTGACCAGTTCTGGAGAACCGGTAGTGGAAATTTTGAGTAGTTTGGAGAACTGGCAAATACCACCTCTGACTGGCCCCGCCCCCATCTATTCCCTTCCTCCTGAGTCCCAGCTGATTGACTGGGTCTTCTTTTGTTGCCCTGCACAGGAGAACGGAGCTGGAAAG